TATATTAATAGAACAATAATGTCATTGTTAGCTAATGAATGTTTCCATGCTGAACAACGGCAACATGACAACGTTTTCATTGGTCCCTCTTCTTTAGAGAAGACCAGGAAATGATGGATACACGGATCGTGTTCAAATCAATAGGCACGCAATGACTCTAAATAATAATGATCACGCCACCAAACACACATTCAAACTAAAGGAACCAGCCTGTTTGGGAAATGAGAGAAGTAGAAAGTACAGGTATTTGTGTTCAACATGTAAGAAGTAGAAAGTACAGGTATTTGGGTTCAACATGTAAGAAGTAGAAAGTACAGGTATTTGTGTTCAACATGTAAGAAGTAGAAAGTACAGGTATTTGTGTTCAACATGTAAGAAGTAGAAAGTACAGGTATTTGGGTTCAACATGTAAGAAGTAGAAAGTACAGGTATTTGTGTTCAACATGTAAGAAGTAGAAAGTACAGGTATTTGTGTTCAACATGTAAGAAGTAGAAAGTACAGGTATTTGTGTTCAACATGTAAGAAGTAGAAAGTACAGGTATTTGTGTTCAACATGTAAGAAGTAGAAAGTACAGGTATTTGTGTTCAACATGTAAGAAGTAGAAAGTACAGGTATTTGTGTTCAACATGTAAGAAGTAGAAAGTACAGGTATTTGTGTTCAACATGTAAGAAGTAGAAAGTACAGGTATTTGTGTTCAACATGTAAGAAGTCAAAGTAAAAAGTCGTCAGAGAAATAAGTAGTGGAGTAAAGTACTGATACCAGAAACATGTACTTAAGTACAGTAACAAAGTATTTGTACTCCACTACTTCCCCCCTCTGTCTGTAACACAGGTGGACAGCAGAGGGTTACACAGCAGTCCTGTCTTCTCTGGACTTTAGGATATCCAAGGGTCATTATCGTAACAGCCATGAATCAAAGCTACAACTACAGCCGCCCTCCGGTCAGGAGTCTCGAGTTTCACTTTGTACAGCCGGACTGTTCCAATCCTCTGTCTTATTTTTAACCATCGAACACAAGCATGCGTGAAGTAAACTGTGCCCTTTAAGGGTGTCATCGAAATAGAAGTTCAGAAGGCAGAACCCATTTGGCCCTGAAGACAGATCCTCACTGCGGTGAGTTAGAAGTGACTCTGACCCAACATCTCAACCATCCTGAGAATCAAAACAGGACATGCCTCCATTAGGATGGGCCGAGGACATATCTGCAGACCGCTTTAATGTAAACCAAACACCAAACCGGTAGACTGAGTATTACAACTAGGTAGCAAACTTCTGTCATCCATTCGTACCTTTTTACACATTGCACCGTCCAATGGGATGATCCAAGATAGCTTTTGTTCCGGACTAACTCTTTCTCGACTTGTCTATTTCTCCCCAAGTAAACACATTAGCTCATCTTCAACTGGAAGGTGGATTACGAGTTGGTTATGTGCTCAACTTTCTGTTGTAGGCTGGTTTTTCATTGACCAGAACACACCATAATAACAAATGCCGGTTTGCATAAGATCCATCATTTTAATTATCCAGAATATTTTATATTGTTTATATTTTATATAATATTTTTCATTTTATTTGTAATTGTTAATTCTCTTTTCCAATTTTTTAAGTATTTTAAGTATTTGTATTTAATGTCTGAACACACTGCTGCTTCTGTAACTAAATCATTTCCCATAATGGGATCAATAAAGTGTCTGTCTGTCCGTCTGTCTCTCTACCTACCTACCTACCTACCTACCTATCTATCTATCCATCTATCTATCTATCTATCTATCTATCTATCCATCTATCCATCTCTCTCTCTATCTATCTATCTACCTACCCATCTCTCTATCTCTCTATCTATCCATCTATCCATCTATCTATCTCTCTCTATCTATCTATCCATCTATCTATCTATCTACCTACCCATCTCTCTATCTCTCTCTCTATCTATCTATCTATCTATCTATCTATCTATCTATCCATCTATCTATCTATCTATCTACCCATCTCTCTATCTCTCTATTTATCTATCTATCTATCTATCTATCTATCTATCTATCTATCTATCTATCTATCTATCTACCTATCTATCTATCTATCTATCTATCTATCTACCTATCTACCTATCTACCCATCTATCTATCTATCTATCTATCTATCTATCTATCTATCTATCTATCTATCTATCTATCTATCTATCTATCTATCTATCTATCTATCTATCTATCTATCTATCTATCTATCTATCTATCTATCTATCTATCTATCTATCTATCTATCTATCTATCTATGTCAACAACGAATGTCAACATTAAAATTGTCCCAACTCTAACCATCATGCAGTTTAATTTAACTTCATCTTAATACTTTAAATGAAATGCAAGCAATGGCCCTGCTGCGCTCCTCTGCCATAGGAGCAGCAGAAGCCACATTCACACCAACAGGTCAGGTTACATTCTGACAGAAAGGTCAGACCTAAGGTCAAAATAAAGCTGCTTATACACTGACAAATGTCACAATGTTCTCAATCTGACTGGCTATCTTATTATTGTTCCTCGTTTCAACACATGTTCGCAACCGTATAAATTAGTGAGAATTTGCCTAATTTATTCAATTAAATTGTTATAATATAAGATTTAGATGCAAGGCAAAATGTACAAAACCTAATTATGTGGCAACAACAAACATAAGAAAAGTGAGCCTACTTGTAATATGTACGTCTACTCTTGTTACTTTAATCTGCACTGCAGTGTTGTAGTCAAGTCACCAATTCACGAGTCCAAGTCACTCTCGAGTCACCACTCTTCGAGTCCGAGTCCAAGTCCGAGTCACCAAGGGAGAGTCGTAGTCGAGTCCGAGTCCAAGTCCGAGTCACCCAAGGAGTGTCCGAGTCGAGTCCGAGTCCGAGTCATCATTACCTGTGTTCGAGTCCGAGTCCAAGTCCGAGTCACCCAAGGAGTGTCCGAGTCCGAGTCCGAGTCATCATTACCTGTGTTCGAGTCCGAGTCCAAGTCCGAGTCACCTAAGAAGAGTCCAAGTCAAGTCCGAGTCACAAGTCTTCATGTATTAATCTTCATGGATATATGTGTTGAAATGTAGCTGCTCCTCCACATTACTTTTATCCTGTCATGTTATACTAATCTGTCTATTGAACTGCTGTGAAGCCAGTTTGGCTACAATTCTTGTAATAGGTGCTATACAAATATAAAGCTTATTACTAATATTAATATTATTATTATATATAAACTATGTTTAAAATGAGTTACCTTTTAGAGAAGTGATTATATTTGTATGCCAATATTTTTCTATGGTAAAGTTTTCGTTTTGCACTTTTATTTTGATAGTAATAAGATCGGGACTCTTATTTTGAAGGAACTTTTACCGGTTAAATCGGTTTACTGATAAAGATTTAGCCCCAGAAAGCACATGGCTACTTAGCATGCAAAATGACGTCATTCTGCATGTTAAGTAGCCATGTGCTTTCGTGTTATCGGCTGAATCTTTATGTATTGATTAGATGACATTACTCTGATGATAGTGTTCAAGACAGCCTATATGTCTGAACTCGATGTTTAGAGTAATGTGTTACGGAGCCTTCTCTTCAATATTGTTTCCACATAGAGCATTTTGCGCTGCTCTTTTCCAATGTGGAAGCAGAATGTGTGAAAGCATACAGCACGATGCGGGGTGTGTCTCTAGACATCTTTAGACTGGAATAGCGAGGCCCAGTACGTGAACTCGCCTCACAGGTGCACACGCCAGGATAGAGGACATCAGACTCCATAGAAAACTTGCTCGAGTCCGAGTCCGAGTCCAAGTCGGAGCGTCAATGTACAAGTCGAGTCCGAGTCATCATGGGGGGAAAAATTCACGAGTCCGAGTCCGAGTCCAAGTCAGCGTACGCGATAATTCACGAGTCCGAGTCCGAGTCCAAGTCATCGTGCGCGAGAATTCACGAGTCCAAGTCCGAGTCGCGTCAATCAGTGCGGGAGTCCGAGTCGAGTCACGAGTCCCGAAAATCGGCACTCGAGTCCGACTCGAGTCCGAGTCCAGGACTCGAGTACTCCATCTCTGCTGCACTGTACTTTTAGTGTTGTGACACCGTACATTTAACGTTACGGGACAAATAAAGGATTTCTGAATAACCGGTTAATAATGGCGCATTTCCACTACAGCGTGTAGCACGGTTTAAGCGTGCCGTGCCAAACCCGGCCCGTTTTTGGTTGCGTTTCCACTAGGCGTAGTTCCGGCTAGCGGGTACTTTTTCACAGTTTTTCTGGCTCTCCAAAATCCAGGTTCTTTCCGGGCCAACAGCCGGGCTGAGTATGCTACATTAGAGAGAGAATCGCTGGCAACTAAAACAAAATGAACATATTTGACCGTGATTTAATTGTAATACACGTTTCAAAATGATGCCGAAGTAACAACATACTGATACCGGTTAGTAAAAACCATGAATTAATGCTTTGACAAGTCTGCAGACAGACGGCAGGCGAAACACCTTTTAAAATGCGTGTTTTCTAGATGGAGATCGGCTAAGCTAACGCAGTATATGCTCCGACCGTCCACACTCACAACAACGGCCTACAGACATAAATAAACCAGCGACTGTATTCTCCATGACACAGGCAGTCTGTGGTTTGTACTTGTGTAACTTTTGTCTAGTTTCTTCGCATTGAAGATGACGTCACGGCTCCGCCTACACTGCGTTACTATAGTTACTGCCCCAGCTACTAAACTGTAATGGAAACGCAGCATAAAGTGAGCCTGGCCTACCAAGGCCTAACTATACCGTACTGAGCCGTGCGAGGCCCTGCAGTGGAAATGCGCCATAAATAGAGTGAATATGTTTTTATGTCCTTCTAAAGACAACAATGCTTACACTCCCAGTTTGTATTTGTGTCAATAAGTAATGTATGTAAAAAGGTAAATGACACTGAAACACAATCTCCATCTTCACAGTACACCCACATATTCATATCAAATGAACAACCTGGAGGAAACAACGTCATACCTCAATACTGAAGTATCCTCGGTCCACGTAGTCCCCGAGGAACAGATACCGTGTGTTACTGGGCGACCCCCCCACCTCAAACAGCTTCATGAGGTCAAAGAACTGTCCGTGGACGTCCCCGCATACTGAGGAAACACAGACACACTGCGGTTAATTTAGAATATAACAACAAGTAGGCATACAGATGTTAAAATACGTGTTTCTCTGGATATATATTTGTCCTTCCTTATCCTAAAACTAGCCATACTACAAAAAGAAGCCTCTATTATGCTTTTTGGAGTGTTCCCTTTCCTGTAGTGTGTAATTTAGGTTTAAGTGCATGTAAATGGTCTGCAAAGGCTAAAATCCCTGAAACGCCTCCATCAATAAAGTATAAGTCTATCTATCTATCTATCCATCTATCCATCTATCTGTCTGTCCCTCCGCCCATCCGTCTATCTATCTATCTATCTATCCATCCATCTATCTATATATCCATCTATCCATCCGTCCGTCCATCTATCTATATATCTGCCCGTCCGTCCATCTATCTATCCATCCGTCCGTCCATCTATCTATCCATCCATCCATCCATCTATCTATCTATCTATCTATCTCTCTATCTATCTATCTATCTCTATCTATCTATCTATCTATCTATCTATCCATCCATCTATCCATCCGTCCATCTATCTATCTATCTATCTGACTCCTTTGTTTACCTCCTGAACATAGAGACATCTCTATGTAACACTCGTGCTTCTATTGGCTAGCGCTCCAACATATTGTACGTGATAGAGATGTCCCGCCCCCTTAGCCTAAGCGGTTGACCAATCACAACAGAGCCGGCCAGCTAATATTCAATACAATTCAATTTCAATTCAAAGGTTTATTGTCATATGCACATAAGCTACAGTGTCGACATTTATTTTTTTAAAGTCTACAATTATTTATATCCTAACGTTAGCTTTTATTTTAGAAATCATAAGTGGTGTTAATATGTGGAGATTATCCAGCTGGAAAATAGACTTTATCACGCGTAAGATTTGCTGTCTGGTTACTCAGCAGTAGTTTGATACTCAGTTGTTTGTATTTCTTTTGAGTACATATCGCCGCTGCATTGATTTCCCGCCCACCTGTAATGGGCGCGTCGACCTCCAGCATGCACTTCTCCTGGCGCAGGATGTTGGCTCCGTCGTTGATGATCTTCAGCGCCGCCTCCTCCTCCACGCGGCCCTCCTTCACCAGGTGAGTTCGCAGCACCTCTGGGTTCGGCTTCCCGTCCACATAAAGCTCTTTGACCGTCAGCTTCTGCTGCGGGGGGTACGGCACCGCTGGGGAGGGAACAATCACAGATTCATCAGAATCAGGTTTATCACCAGGTAGGTTGACACGTACGAGGAATTTGACTTGATGTCGTGGTGCAGACATAAAAGTAAAACGACCATTTAAAAAACACAGATAGCGAACTACATGTATTGGGTTAATTACATTGTTTATTGCCATTGTGATGTCAACTTTTGCATTAATCATATGTTTTTCAATTTACACGTAGAGATGTATTAGTCAGTTAAAAGAGAATTTCATAAAAACATGATTTTTTATTAAAGAGGCCCTATTCTGCTTTTTGTTGTGTTCCCTTCCCTGTAGTGTGTTATATAGGTTTTAGTGCATGTGAATGGTCTGCAGAGGCTAAAATCCCTGTGTTCCCTTCAGAGGGAGTTTCTCTCCCACACTCCCCCCCCCCCCTAACTGCTTGAAACAACTCCATTGGACTCCTTTGTTTACTTCCGGAACATGGTGACTATTGGCTAGCGCTCCAACACATTGTACGTGATAGGCTAAGGGGCGGGACATCTCTAAGCGGTTGGCCAATCACAACAGAGCCGGCCAGCTGACCAATCAGAGCAGACTGGGCAGGTGTCTTCCCATTTCGCCCCTTTTTTACCTTAGGCCACATAAGAAATGATACTTGTCTTGCTTGGTCGTGGTTCTTAGGGTTATGGTTATGGTTAGAGTTTATAGATCTAATGATGCATCCCATAAGGCATTGCATCAAGTCTGTTGACGAATCACAGGCTGTTGTTGGGGCTGCATGGGACAGGGGGCAAAATGGGAATAAACGACATGTCATAGGAGAGGCACTAAATACTGATATGAAGCCGAGAAATTGGCAAAATAGGGCAGAGATTTTAAAGACCAATAAAAATACCGGCAGATTAATCGTTAACGAAAACAATAGTTAGTTTCAGCATTTGGCATTTTTTTATTCAAACAGCACAGAGGCAGGACTGAGTCGATTAAAGTACAATTGCTATCTCAGAATTCATCACATATTGTCCTCATATTGTTTTCGGGTACGATGTGTTTACAGAGACATGTTTTGCAAATAATTGTTAAACATTAAGCTGTGCATACCATGAACGGAACAAATACAAATGAAATGTTCTGGAGCTGTAATCATGAGCACTGACATTTGCATCGAGAGAGCTGAGATGAAGGTATTGGCAGCAGAGGAAGAGGAGGGGGTCAGTACACCTACATGATGAAGAGATGCACAGAGCGACAGTAAGAAGCCCTGCAACCCCCCCACCTTTTCCTTTCAGTAATCTGCTGCTGCACCACCCACACAATCCTTTTAGCGTCGTCACTTAAAGTCACTGCTTCAGACCTGAGAGCAGCAGCAACGACTGAAACTCAAACACCTAAGATTTTCATCGACATAACTACACTGTATGTACGTATGACAAATAAAAGCCTTGAACCTTGAACATCTCAGTGCCTGACAGAGGGTCCAGGAACACACATATCTACAAAGTGCAAGAGATTATCGTTTGTAATTCAAGGATTCAAGGCTTTTATTGTCATGTGTACTTAGCTACAGTGTAGATATGACAATGCACATCTTAGGTCACAGACTCCTCCAACAGAGCAACACAATAACACAGATAATAGTGTAAGTAAATAAAATAAAATAGATTATACAGTGTAAGAAAACGTTTTTAGAGAATACATTTTTCACTTGTCAATAGCTATACTTTGTGCATGCTGGACCTATTTTAAATATCATTAAATATCAACATAAAGCATACAAGAATCTTGGTTACTGTAACTAAGGTAACATGTTATTGTTTATTTGTTCATATTTGGCAAGAAACATGCGATACAAGAATCTTCCTCTTGGGGCCACTGGAATCTTCTTCTTCTGCATCGTATTTTACATTTTCCCACGGTTTGACGACACCGCTAACGTAAGTGAGCGGTAAGAGTTTACTGCATCACACCAAGCCCCCAGGTAGTGTGCCGGACTCTGATGAAAATATTCGTTGTGTCCAAACGGCGGTACTACAATTTCCGTATCAGTCCGTGACGTCACTGGGACAGAAAGACTGTTCCCCATTGACTAACATTGGGAAAGAGACGTCTGTAAATCAGCGGATAATTTTTTTTAAACTAAATAAACTACCAAGTATGAACTATGTTATAGCCCTTATTAGAATCATTAGGTCCTTAAAGTTCTAAAATGCACTAAAACCCGAATTTAGATTTATTTTCTGTCTCCATTCATTCTACTGAGCCGAGAGTGGGAGTTCGGGGGGCGGGGCTTAAGGGGCGCATGCTCTGTGAGCGCACATACGGGTTCTTCTGCTCTGGCAGCTAGGCATGCTGGGTAATCTGTGGCGTTTCGCTCTCTCAAAAGTTGGGCCATTTTGTCTTCATGCGCCAATGAGCAGCTCTCATAGGAAAGAACGAGACCCCGCCTCCCACGCTGTATCCAGTTCTTATTAAACATCCATGCATCACACAGGACAAAGAAGGAAACGTAAAGCGGACAATGGCGGACACGGACAATTTGCGAATGAGTTCTGCCTTTTGTAAACTGAAGAACTGATCAATCATTTGTCAATAAATATGGGCGAAAAACGTCACTTGTCCGTCGGACACGTCAATGGAGAGATGTACTTGTCCGATACTGTATCGTCCCAGACGATCGGACGTGTGCTTTTTCGCAGACTGATATAGTAGAAATAGTGCAGAATAGTCTATACACAAGTAAGTGGAATATTGATATATACACGTTGCAAACGGATGAATGTTATGGATCACTAATCACTCATATATAATTTATCTAATATTTAAGTGTAGAAAGAATCAGAATGATCAATATCCAGAGGAAGATTGGTATTGGTTTGTTACAATTGCTGCATTAGAGAATAAATACAGTATAAGAAATAATAGAAAAATGTATATTCATTAAATTATGTAGAGATTATCCTGCTGAACTAAACGTGTAAGAATCATGAACGTTTGCAATAATCAATTAATCCTATTGAACCAGGGACACATCTCTACACTACTTTAAATGTGGTATAAAAAACATAGATTTTGAACACTGTCTTTAAAGGTCCCCTATTATCCTCTTCTTCATCAATATATCACAGGTCTCAGATATATAGAGCCTGTCTCTGATTGGCTGAAACACCAAACAGATCATTGCAGCATTACCCATAATCCCCTCTGTTTCAGCCCTGTTTCCAAAGTGCTGATTCTCTGTCTGTTACTTTAGATGAAAATAAGGAGCCCCTCCCCACGCCCCTCTGAGAGACATTTGGTTACAAAGAACTCAATGGTGCTCTAGGAGGAGATTCAGGTGATAAGGTGGGGGGGGGGTTACCTTGGTTGCTGATTGGCTAATGGTTACACAAGACAAAACATCGTTATGACATCACAAAGTGGCCAAAATCTGATCAGCTCATTTTCAGACAGGTCTTTATAAAAATGGATCAGGACAAAAAGAGAGAGAATCTTTGTTCCTGAAACTTTCAGAGTCTCTTTACACAGAGGGGACACATGGTGATGAAGAAGAGACATGAAGAAGAGGGGACACATGTTGATGAAGAAGAGACATGAAGAAGAGGGGACACATGTTGATGTAGAAGAGACATGAAGAAGAGGGGACACATGTTGATGTAGAAGAGACATGAAGAAGAGGGGACACATGTTGATGTAGAAGAGACATGAAGAAGAGGGGACACATGTTGATGAAGAAGAGACATGAAGAAGAGGGGACACATGTTGATGTAGAAGAGACATGAAGAAGAGGGGACACATGTTGATGAAGAAGAGACATGAAGAAGAGGGGACACATGTTGATGTAGAAGAGACATGAAGAAGAGGGGACACATGTTGATGTAGAAGAGACATGAAGAAGAGGGGACACATGTTGATGTAGAAGAGACATGAAGAAGAGGGGACACATGTTGATGAAGAAGAGACATGAAGAAGAGGGGACACATGTTGATGTAGAAGAGACATGAAGAAGAGGGGACACATGTTGATGTAGAAGAGACATGAAGAAGAGGGGACACATGTTGATGAAGAAGAGACATGAAGAAGAGGGGACACATGTTGATGTAGAAGAGACATGAAGAAGAGGGGACACATGTTGATGAAGAAGAGACATGAAGAAGAGGGGACACATGTTGATGAAGAAGAGACATGAAGAAGAGGGGAAACATGTTGATGTAGAAGAGACATGAAGAAGAGGGGGACACATGTTGATGAAGAAGAGACATGAAGAAGAGGGGACACATGTTGATGTAGAAGAGACATGAAGAAGAGGGGACACATGTTGATGTAGAAGAGACATGAAGAAGAGGGGACACATGTTGATGTAGAAGAGACATGAAGAAGAGGGGACACATGTTGATGAAGAAGAGACATGAAGAAGAGGGGACACATGTTGATGAAGAAGAGACATGAAGAAGAGGGGACACATGCTGATGTAGATGAGACATGAAGAAGAGGGGACACATGTTGATGAAGAAGAGACATGAAGAAGAGGGGACACATGTTGATGAAGAAGAGCCATGAAGAAGAGGGGACACATGTTGATGTAGAAGAGACATGAAGAAGAGGGGACACATGTTGATGAAGAAGAGACATGAAGAAGAGGGGACACATGTTGATGAAGAAGAGACATGAAGAAGAGGGGACACATGTTGATGAAGAAGAGACATGAAGAAGAGGGGACACATGTTGATGAAGAAGAGGGGACACATGTTGATGAAGAAGAGACATGAAGAAGAGGGGACACATGTTGATGTAGAAGAGACATGAAGAAGAGGGGACACATGTTGATGTAGAAGAGACATGGAGAAGAGGGGACACATGTTGATGTAGAAGAGACATGGAGAAGAGGGGACACATGTTGATGTAGAAGAGACATGGAGAAGAGGGGACACATGTTGATGTAGAAGAGACATGGAGAAGAGGGGACACATGTTGATGTAGAAGAGACATGGAGAAGAGGGGACACATGTTGATGTAGAAG